CTGGCGAGCACATGCGCCCTATAGCAAAAACCTCTCCAAAAAAAAAAAAAACAAAAAAAAAAAAACAAAAAAAAACCCTGCAAGCTAAAAACTCTCAAAAATAAATAAATAAATAAATAAAAATAATAAATAAAAAAATAGAAGGTTGAAATAAAATACTATAATGATGGTAGGGAGTACAGCCACCATTTTTGAGGCCTGTCTCTGAATATAAAACTGAAAATACTGGGTATCCTCAATGTAGGAAAGTAGATGGAAAGGACGTGATTAAAATGAAAATTATTATAAGCAATAATCATAAGACACCATGAACCAAATTATGCATTAGCTTATGGAATACCCTTAGAAACATGAACAAGTTTAGTTTAAGACAAATAAAAAAAATTATACTGCAGATAATATATTACTCTATCTCACAAAGAAGAGGTGTAGACATGAACTATAAATGGGTCTGAAAATGATTTGGATATTGTGTATGTCAGAGCCATAGAAACTGAAATGTCCATGCCCTGAAACCAAAAATGGAATCTGTACCTTCTACAGCATATGCTGAGGCCTCAGGCAATTTATGCTCACTAGGCAATAAAGTCATCACAGCATAAACGAACTGTCTAACCCAGTGAGTTACTTGGCTTATCCAATAGCTGTGGTAGTCATTTAAATATAGTAGTCCCTATGGACACCTATACACAAAAACAGATTAAATTTAATAAACCAAAAATCATTAAAGAAATTGGCTACTTTCTGATTGTTTCAGCTCATACAAAATGAGTAACTATCACCAAAAAACAGAAGAGTTGAAGACTGAATGTTAGCCCTGGAGCCAGTATATTACAGAAGCCCAGTAAAATCTCTGGATACCAAAGACTTGGGTGAGCTTCCCTGGCTTGTTTTCAGTGCTCTCTGAATACTGTTATACATCAATGCTAGTTTCCTAGTACACATCCAGACTCCACAGGGAGAGGACAACCGAAACTCAGCATTTGATGCCCCCCAGACTCAGCCCCAGGGGCTTCTTCACTTGGTCGATTTTAATCTGCATCCTTTCCTATGATAAATCATATCCATGGATATAATGGCTTCCCTGAGTTCTGTGAGTCCTTCTAATGAAGTAGCGAACCTCAAAGTGATTTTGGGTACCTACCCCCTGAATCCGCAGAAACTAAAGTCAAGAGAAATTCATTTTGTCTTAAATAAATAAACTTCATAATCAAATGTGACAAAGAAACTGACAGCTTATTCAAGCTTCCTCAACATCAATTTATTGTTGTTCCTAAATAAAGCCCCTCCAACACATACACACACATACACACACCAATTCCTTCTCTTTTTTCATTGCAGTAGTATCTTTATCCCTAAATAAACTTTGGCATTTGGGTACATTCTGAATAGACACTACCTTGAAACATTGTCAGAAATCTTTTCACACGACTATCTAAGATAAAACGTAAATGGTGTTGACTATAGATATAACACTCATGACCTGGTGGTTAAGGGAGCTGGGTCCCACACGGCCAACACACAGTTGGAGTCTTGGCCCTGGTGGTTGAAAAACTTGCTGGGTGTGTGATTGCTTGCCCAAAATCTCAACAGGGGTACCAGTGTGACTACACTCTAGCGCAGTGGGGTGTGCTTTCTTGCTCTCATTCTCTCTCTGCCTCCCTTTGGTAAGTGAACATGCCTCTGGTTAAAAAAAAAAAAAGAAAAGAAAAGAAAAAAATCATGTATCAATCATAATTTTAAAATATTTTTATAGAAACTACTATTTCACACAAACAAAATTATACAAAAATTTGAATGTTATCTTTAAAATTCAATATTCTGAAATTTTTAAAGTTGTTTATTAACTGTCAAGAACTATGGAGTATGAGCAAATTTTTTTTATATGTAAAGTAAATGTTTGTGGAAAAATGTAAAAATAGGGGCCAGCAGGTGGTGTGGTGGTTAAGGTGCTAGAATTCCCACATGGCTGACTGGTTCGAGTCCTGGATTTGGTGGCTTGCTTTCTCCCTCTCTCTCTCTCTCTTTCTCTGGCAAAACTCATGTGAAAAATAATAATAAATAAATAAAATAAATAATTTTTTTTAAATGTAAAAAAATGAAAAAAAGAAAAAAATGACTATTTCAGTAGGTTATTCAAATATGCTAAGTATTTCATACCTTATACTGTAGAATACTTATAACCAGCATTTTTTTTATTCTTATTTCAGAACAAAGGAAAGAAACCTTAGAGTTTTCATTCATATGATAACATGAGCTTTGGAGGCAAATATACTCCAGTCCTTGTCTAATTTGTTGTAAAGGAAAAGCTATTTAATTTTCTAAGCTTCAGGTTCCCTACTAATAAAATGAGAATAAAACCTCTACGTCACTGAGCTATTGGGAAGATTAAGTGAGTTTTTATAATGAGCACCTGACAAATATTATTTTCCCTTCCCTCCTTCTTTCTACTCAGGCCAGTCCAAGGTCACGTGGCTAGTAAACAGCAAAGTTACTTCAGGTCTTCCTTTGCTAACCTAAGTTTTAGAATAATTTTAAAAATTATTTCCTTATGCTAAGACTCTAGATTTCAGAAATACTGTACTTTTGGTAAAGTACATAACAAAGAAAACGCAAATAATTTAAGAAAAAACCTATAATAATGGCTGAGTTTTTAAAGTTAAATAGTTTGAAAGTCCCAGAATGCCTACGATAAAAGTTTCATTACAGACATGTACCAACAATGTAAGGTCTGGGGGAACACCACAGTGCTTCCATGGACTGAGTTTAGGGTTGAGAGCAATAAAACAGAGATTTATTTCTTCAGGAATAAAAGACTATTACTGACAAATACTTCTTTTTCCAAGGCACCATGTTTCTCATTGTTTTAGAAAATTTAGAGAAACTTAGAGACAAGATTGCAAAACTCACCTGCATCATGACTTTCAGGCGATCCAAAGGGGCGGTGCTTGTTCGAGAGACGGCGCCAGCAATACCTCCTGCCAGCAGCTGCCTCCACCACTGTCCAGACTTTTTCTCATCTTCCGTGAATTCATCCGGAATAGCTAAACTATCGCCTATGTCAATGCCCTGTTAAAAAAGGATAAAAATATCCCCCATGCTCCTTCGATTAGAAATAGATAATCCCAGAGGTTTTTGTTTGTTTTAGAAAAGTCATGTTATTTTACAGTTAATACCAACTTTAGTCTTTGGAATTTATACTAAACCAGTGGGAGCGTATGAACGATTACAGTCTATTCACACTCAACAAAGTGCAGTATCATTCATGAGAAATAAGAATTAACAGTTAATTCCAAATTTTCAAAACCAACAATTACAACTTTTTTCCCTAATAGATTCTGAGTAACTTTTTTTTCTCTTGGTCTAAATGTTTCAAATCGGGGGGGGACCCAACATTTTTTTATCAAGTATAATAAATCCTTTTTAGCTACAGCCACTTTCCATACGCTAGAAAACCACATCTAATTGGTGATGTTAGTTATTTTATTTATTTATTTATTTATTTATTTATTTATTTATTTAATTAATTAATTAATTTTGGAGCAGTTTCTTGCTATAGGGCAGACATGCTTGCCAGAGAGACAGAGACAGAAAGCAAGAAACCAGCCCCAGGGGGGATGGCCATGCTGGGGGTGATTTTTCACTGTCTCTGTCTCTGTCTCTGTCTTTCTGGCAAGCACACATGCTCTATAGCGAAAACCTCTCAAAAAAATATATGCAATAGTTTCCATATAAAATTTAGATAACAGGAAGGTATGGCGTGAAATGATCACTACTCCCAATCTCCCGTAAACATTACTACAGGTTGCAAATATAACTTGAGAGTAACCAAAATGTATGATAGCTGGAGTAATCTAAATGATTCTGGCATAAACAATTTTATAGGCGAGAATGTAAAGATAAGGAGTTATGCTATGTTAGTAACCCTCTCTTCTTTCATTTTACTATCAATAAAATGAATACAGAATTGTAGCCTCAATTGTTAACAACTATCTCCAAAGATACAAGAAGAAGCACATAAATAAAACTTCACATAAATATCGAATTAATCTAGGCAACTGAACTACTAAGAGAGTATTGGTTTACACTCATATTGGAAAGGTATTAATCACTAGTAGTCGTATAATTCTCTAATTAAGCTTAGCCATTGTTGCTATGGGTGATGTGAACTCTAGGTTTCATGTAGTAAGTATTCAATTTATGTAAATCCATGAGTAACAGAAGACAACCCTACTTAAAAATTTTTTTTCAACTCTCCTACAAAGGCGTGTCTGTGGCTCCCTGTCTTCGGACACGTAAGAATTGGAGGCAAAGAAACGTGGATTGAGGAATCTGGAGCCTGCTTGTTCCTGGCAGGACTCAAGAGCCACCATCCCATATAGAAAAATAGGAAAAAAAAGTTTTCAGGAGTAGGTTGCACAATAATAGAATTTCTTACACTAGTATATTTTACCAGAATTCTAATAAAAATTAATTAAACTGTGGAAGTTTCAAGGAATACAAACTGGTGCAAAATGCTAAGCACTGAGCCAAAGAGATTTTATTTTTTTAAAAAAAACCTTCAGTGGTTACCATGAGCACCTTATGCCAGAGATAAACCCAGGCAGTCTGACTAAGCAAGCAAGCTTCAGAAGGGACCTTTGGCCACCATCAATGGCCGGGAACCTTGGCAATCATAACGTGTTAAGATTATTTAGGTTATTTAGTATCCATAAAAAGTAAAAGCCTATCGCTTTGTATACTTCCTTATTGAGGAATACTTAATTGCCTATATAAGCAGAGCAGCTTATTCATCGAGGTGGTACTTCCAATTTTTGAGAATGGTTGTATTGTCTTGAAGTTTGTAAATATACTCTATGAATCTATGCCTAATAGAATAATCAGAATCCTACAAAATAAGGAGCTACTGGGACATGGGCATCTCAGTCAGTAAGTGTTACAGAGGATTCTTGGGTGATCATTATACCTGTGGCTTATGGCTCCAAATGAGTATAAATACATAAACACACTTACAGTAGAATGTTTCCAGAAGCGAATTATTTCCTCAATGTCTGTTACAGGATTAAATAAGAAGTAGTCTCTCCATTCATTCCAGTCCACTGTCATTGTTCCATCAGCATCAATGCTGAAAAGTTTTAATTAACAAAATTGATAAATAAAAATAACATTAATGGCCATTTTATAGAATTTTATACAAAAACCCCATTCATAGTCATAGGTTGTTGGAAATAGTAGCAAGTATCCTATGCTTAAGTCCAATAGTTTTAATTATCTAGATAAAACAGACCCATAAATGATGAAGAGACCTTCCTAAAGACTATTCTCAACACTTTAACTCAATGAGTTAAAACACAAAAACTGGAAGGTAAATATTGAGAAATAGTAATAAATGCATTTGTGACCTTTTTTTTTTTTTCTTACACTGGCTCAGAAAGATATTTCTTAAAGTTCTGTTGTAACATTTGGATATGTGTTTGACATATACTCAAAACATGCTATAAATTTCCTTCTCCAACTTTCACCAAGTTAAGAAATTACCTGTAATTGTAAAACAAAAATCAAGCTCTTGGTGAGTAAGCCTTTGAGTCTTAAGAAATCCTGACACTTCATTTTCAAAGTGTAAAATTTACATATATGTTGTCTTAAATATTTGTCATTAACTTCTTGCTTTTTTTTGAAAAGTTTCTTGGAAATATATATATGTATTTTTGTAGAGTTTTTTGGTATAGGGTGCATGCACTCTCCAGAAACACAGAGAGGGACAGAGAGATAGAAAGCTAAAAATTACCCCCCAGGGGGTATGGCCACACTGCAATCCCTTCTCCTCCATTCTCCTCTAGGGATCTTGGGCACGCACACACATGCGCCCAACGTGAATTTAAGCTACTGGGTCCGGGGCTCAAGCCACAGTCAACTACATGGGAGTCCAGCGACATAGCCATTACGCTAACTGCTGGTCCCAATAATGTTGTTTTCTTAAGAGCAACTCTGAAGTTTGCCAGGATTTTGACTGTTTTGGTCACTCTTATATACCCAGTTCGTAAGGTAGCTGGCAGAGAGAAGACACTCAATTATTCATTGAATTAATAGATGTCTTAGAAACAAAAAGTTGTAGTGTGTCTTTTAAATTTTATTCTATAATTTGCGTGAAAACTATGCTTAAAAACAGCAGTGAATGGTCCAGCCACCATGGTATAGAGGTAACACAAGTGCCCTGCAAGGTTGAAAGCCATGTGGTGACCAGGGTTTGGAATCCCAGGTCTGCCTGAATCCATATACCCACAGTTGCCCAGGATCCTGAGAAGCTGGAGGGCTGGGGAAAGAACGTGGCAGCATGACAAGACCAAGTCGGAAGCCATGTGGTGACCAGGGTTTGGATTCAGGTCTGCCTGAATCCATATACTCACAGTTGCCCAGGATCCTGAGAAGCTGGAGGGCTGGGGAAAGAACGTGGCAGCATGACAAGACCAAGTCGGAGGTCCTTCTCTCTCTCTCCCTCTTCCATGTGTGTACATGTGCTCTATATTTTAGAAAGTGACAATAAAATGAAATGCTATTTTCAAATATCTATCATTATGGTTTCTAGTACCACTTTTTCTTTAGCTCTGCATATGTGAAATTACACTGAAACTTTCACTTGTCCCAAGACACAGGCATAAACGTTCTATATCTGCATGAGAGTTCCAGTTACTACTTATACTTAGAACATTATCCTGGACTGCAATATTGTTATTAGCTTGTTTTTTTCCCCACTATTTTCTATTTTAATACAATTATTTATTGTCTGATCTTACCCTTTCCCAACCTGCTACATGTGAGCATTGTGCACAGGCAAGAAATTTTGTTGATTTCATTCACTAAATAAATGCAATGATGGACTTCTCAATTTATTCCCAAAATTCTACTGACCAGATTAAAAATGATATATCTTTGTGCTTTTAAAATTGTAATGATTTTTACCATAAAATCTACTTATCTGATATTAATATAGCTATCCCTACTTTCTTTTAGTTAGACTTCGCTTTTCCTTTAACTTGGTGATGCATCTTCTGACAAAACTGACATTAGTTTTCACTTTTACATTCATTAAAAGTCCATCATAATGTCAATGGGATCATGTGAGATAAATAACATTTTTTGATCAGTATATTCTGTCACAAGAGCACTAGTATGGAAATACAGAGATGCCTACGCACATACCAGATTAAACACTAAACTGACCAAGTCCTGACTGATCAGAAGGAAATCACATCCTAACTTACTTTTCACCCACTCGTAAAACCCCAGGGAAGATAAGAACTTTACTTAGTCTGCCCCACTTAAGAATAGGGGTGAAGGAAAAACAGGGCCAATAGTATTGCAGGGCACATTTTGGTGGAGTTTTACCATCTTAGAACTTATTTTTCCCATCTGATCTTTTGCTTTCTATTTATCTCCTTGTTTCTAAAATTGTTGTTCCTCCTTGCCCTTCTTTGCTGGCCTCTCTGAATGTTATGCTTGTTTATTTAACTTCTTATTCCATTTTTCTCCCTTTGGAAGTTACAGACTCAGCTCCTCTACTTTCAGTAGTTTCCCTTGAACGTTTACCATGTACAAATGATCAAGTCTGAAGTTAAGGTTTGACCCCGCCCTCCTGAGTTAGATAACAACTTCAGAACAATGTAAAACAGATTATCCCTTCCTTTCCCGACTTGCATAATATCATTGCCTAGAATTGTAGATGTCATTTTTCTTGAATTCTACAAATTGAACATTATATTAATAGCTATTTCTAAGGGACCAAATAACCTAAAAACCACTGGTTAAAAGGTGGGCCAGTGGTCCACAATGGTGGTAAGGCTTTCCGTGAGTCTACAGGTGGTATCTTGACAAAAGCATTGTGTACAGGGAAGATAAATCATACCCAGAGTAAATGCCAATTCCAGACAGGATAAAACACTGCGCCCTCCCTGGAGCAGGTGGTGTAGTGTAATCAGCCTGCCACCAGGAAGATGGCTGACCACCCAGCAGGTGGTGCCATGTCGGGGGCTCGCTGTTAGTCTCTGTTGCTAACAACAGGGCACTCACAGTAACCATAGCCAGGTCTGCCTTGCTGTGATAGCTGATGTTTCTGAGCCTCTGCATAACCTCCAACCCCGCCATCATGGCCACTGTCCGTCATGGCCACAGCCCACTGGGTGATGACAGGGATGGGGAAAGAGGCTCACTAATACCCACACAACGGGGCACCCTATCCGCTTGCTTAGTAAAGTTTTCTCGCACTAGAGTCACCCACTGGTGAGCATCCCACAGGGCACAAAGATCTTCACATCTTTTGCCCACACAGGTTTATCCACGGATTCCTTCCTAAAATTCTTTCTTTTTTTCTGATTTTGCCAGAGAAATGTACACACACTAGAAGTAAGAGAGAGAGAGAGAGAAAGTGAAAAGAAAACCCTAGCATGTGGGATGGTCACACCCCAAGCCCTTCTCCTCCACTTCTTTCAGGATCTTGGGCACACACGCACATGCACCCAGCCTGTTTTTCAAGTCACTGAGTCCAAGAAATAAACCGCACAGTCAGTCACGTGGTATCCGGTCATCTTACCTACCACGCCACCAGCTGCCCTCCCATTCTGTGTCACCAATTTCCAATTATGCTCCTTCTTTTTTATTTGTAAGAGGTTTTTGCGTTAGGGTATGTGTGCTTGCCAGAGAGAGACAGAGACAGTGAGAGGGAAAGTAAGACATCACTCCCAGGGGCAAGGACCACACTTCTCCCTTCTCCATTCTCCTCCAGGAATTTTGGACATGCACACACACACACACACACACACACACACACACACCTGGCGTGAGTTTCAAGCCACCACATCCCGAACTGCAGTTGGCCATGTGGGAGTCCAGCAACATAACTGCTATACCATCTCCTGGCCCTTCAGTCATGCTCCTTCTAAGTCTCTGACCATCTGGCCAAACCAGTAGCTACAGCCCTTGGATTGGTACATAATCACACAACTGGCCATTTTCCTTCCAAAGTACACAACCAGGTACCTTTTCATACCTATTATGTATTAGTCAGGGCTCTCTAGAGAGACAGAACCAATAGGAGACATATATATACATATATATGTGTGTGTGTGTCAGGGCTCTCTAGAGAGACAGAACCAATAGAAGACATATATATACATATATATATGTGTGTGTGTGTGTGTGTGTGTGTGTGTGTGTGTATGAAATGTATATTTATTTATATTTATATATAAATGTATACATATATATTTATATGTCTATAAATATATATAAATGTATACACTCCTGTACATACATACATGGTTACAATCAAAAGACACATAGTAACAAGTGCTGGTGAGGATATGGAAAAATTGAGATCTGCATGCTTTGCTGCTGGACTCTAAAATGGTGCTACCACTTTGGAAACAGTGTGGCAGTTCTTCAAAATGTGAAACACAGAGTTACCTACATCCCAGTAAATGCACTCACAGGAAAGTATCCAAGACCAGTGATAAGAGAAGTGACACAAAAAAGAGGTCTGTACACAATGTGCACAAGAATGTTCATGGCATTTTTCATTATAGCCAGTGGAAACAACCTGGATGTCTATTGACCAATAAACAAAACATGCTATATGCACAGACTGGAGTATGAACTAGCCTGCAGTGGGTACTGATTCACATTACAACCTGGACGAGCCTTAACAAAGTTATGCTATGTTTAAAAAAAAAAAAAAGTCAGACACTAAAGGTCAAAATTTGAATGATTGATTCTATTCATATGAACTGTCCAGAACAGGCAAATCTATATATAGAGAAAATATGCCAGTGGTTACCAGGGGCCTCTCAGGGGA